CACACAGCTGGTAGGTGTCTGAGGCCAGATTTGAACTCAGGTCCTACTGACTCCCAGGGGCTGGTGCTCTATCCATTGTACCACCCAGCTGCCTTGACCCTCCCCTTTTCCAGGCTAACACATGCCCTCCTTCTCTCTCACAAACTTTCACTAAGAAGCATTATGTTCAAGGCACCATGCTCAGCTCCAGGGAAACAAAGCCCCATCTCCCACCTCCACACCTTTGCATAGGCTGTCTCCCAGGCCTGGTCATCTGGTCCAGGCTCTCTCAGGTATCACTGCTTTCCAGCAGAGACTCTGTTCTTATCCCCCTTCCCCCCCAAAGCCCCAGCCCCCAGAGAGCTGTGGGTACCCTCCCTCTCTTCCAGCAGCCTTGAATTCACTACCTGGTGTACATGTTGTCTCCCCAAAAGCATGTAAGCTCTTTGAGGGCAGGGCCTGCTCCTGTCTTTTCTCCCCAGCCCTGCGCTCAGGGCCTGGCACACAGGGGTCTGTGAAACAGCAAGGCTTTGGGCTGAGGTGGGGGGTGCTGGGGAGGGGCCCAGGAAATGAGACAAGAGACTGACGTCATTCTTAACTTTATGCAAAATTCTCTTTGAGCCAAGGTGCCAGGCATGAGCACAGAGACCAGCACAAAGCAGGAGGCTGGAGAGAGGGAGAAAATGGGGAGGGACAGCCTGCGCTGAGGGTCCCTGGGTGGACGGGCCTAGGAGGGGGCTCTCTGGGGAGCAGGTCACGCGTCTGTTGCGCGGAGCAGAGGCAGGTTTCCCCCGGCTCTTCTGCTGAGATGGCCTTGGTCAGAAGGGCACCCTGCCCAGGCAGCCACCACCTGCCAAGGTCAATATTGAACAGCTGTTCCCAGAGGACGGTGGGAACAATGCCTCCGGCTCCCTGCCCAGGGAACTCCTAGGAGGTAAATAGGGGCCCAGCCTAGCCTGGTTCCAAGAGGAACCAACTGTGTCTGCTGTGGGCCAGGGCGGGGAGAGGAGCAGGCAGCCAGGCTTCAGCCTCTCCAGCCTCCCAGCTGAGGACATGCACAGGCGCCCCAGGACTGGCAGCCAGGCTCTCATTGCCCCCTCCCCACAGCCTCCCATGCTGTCCAGACAAGCCAGAAGCCCCAAAGCCAACAGTGCCAAGGGCCCCCTGCCCAGGCTGGGCACCCAGGCTCGCTCCCACTCCCCAAGCAGGTGCTGACTGACCACAGAATGCACCAGCAGCCCCTGTCCTACGTCTCCCTAGTGCCTGGGCACGGGGGCAGCAGGGATGGGACCAAGCAGTCCTCTGTAGCGCCAGGGCAGACGTGGGCCCCTGCTACCTGGTGGACAAGAGAGCTGTTCAGTTCAGTTCCTTGAGGGCTTTTTAAGGGGAAGTCAGGAATGTTTGGGAGCCACCCTCCAACTCTGAGGCAGTGCAGGGGCCCATCCGCAGACAGCTGCCCAGGGAGTCTGAGATAGCCCGTAGGGAACTCCTGGGCCAAACGTGGCATGGTCTACAAGCATCTGCTTCCTTTCAATCCCGTGGCTCAAGTCTGGACCAGCAGGGGCAGACCCAGCCCTAAACAGAGGACGTGGCTGGTGCAGACGCGAAGGAGACACGGTCTCTGACCTGGGGGAGCTGAAAATCAAAGCCAGCTTCTCCAGGCTGGTGGCCCCAAAGCCCAGGGATGAAGAGACGTGTTCCTGGTGCACTCCATCCCCCATTGGGGAGAGCCGGAGGGCTCACAGCCCCTGACAGAAGCCCCTCACGCACACCTTGGAGCATTTGTAGACATTCTACAACCCAGCTGGTTCTTTGAACCCAAACAAGGGCCTTCACAAAGGCCTCCTTTTGCCTGGGCCTCTGTTCTCCCAGGGCACTCAGAGCACATCTAAGTCCTCAGGCCTCCTCCCCATCTGAAGCTGGCCTGGGGCCCCTGCCTCAGCCTCTGCTCTTTCATTTTGGGGGAAGGCAGCACCAGCTATCCTGGTTCCAGGAGTGAGTCCATGACGGGTCCCTTAGCCAACCGAGCACCAGTGCCCTGAGGAGCAAGGAATGACCCTTGGAGCCAGACCAACAGTGGCCAACATGGGGATTCATCCAGCAGGGATGAGGCCTTGAAGGGGAACCTGGCGGGGCTAACGCTTTGTGAAAATGAATGAGTCTGAGCCCGTCCTCCCCAGAGACTTCCTGGCCTCAGCTTCTGTATCTGCAAAACGAACTTAATATGATTCATGCTGCCTACCTAATGGGACTGCTGTGGAGGAGTTCTAAAATGGTAGACGTCACCTACTTCTGTACTGAGGTTGACTTGGAAAAATGACTGAAGTTGGACGAGTGAATGAAGAGATGTTTCATGTGGGGTAAACAGCATAACAACTTGAGGGGAATTTTGGAAAGTTCTCTTCATATTTTTGTTCTACCTAGAAGTTAATAAATATTAATTGGTTTAGCTATATTTGTGTATTATTGTTGGAGGGGAGTGGTGTTATGATTATAGACTAAGTTTAACATGGTGTCTGGTGACTAAGACCAGGCGGTGTGGGGGGAGTACACCCCTCAACGTGTGGGCAAGAACACTTACACTCGTTCTTTCTTCTTTTGGGGTTAAGCAACTTGCCCAGGGTCACACCGCTAGTAAGTGTCATGTGTCTGAGGCTAGATTTGAACTCAGGTCCTCCTTACTCCAGGGCCGGTGCTCTATCTACTGTGCCACCTAGCTGCCCCTCACTTGTTCTTTCTTCAAAAGAAACATCCATTGTAAAAGCTAATGGATGTGAACTGCTCCCGTAGTCACTGGTGGCTAACACACCCAGATCGGTGGCTTGGGCTGATGGCAGTAGAGAAGAGAACCCCACGCCCACAGGGCTACCTCTGGAATCCCGAGAAGCCAACGTCCATCCTGGGTCTGGGACGGTAAGACCCAAGAGAGAACTGACCGCCCTGGCAAGGACCTCTGAGGCCACAGAGGCAGGCCCACGCCTCTCCCAGGACGCCCTCCCTCTCCGTGACCAGCGACAGGTCATCCAGACTGTTTGCAGACCTCCGGTGATGGAAAAGGAAGCCCCAGGCGTTCCCCTGCACCCAGAACCTCTGCTGTCACCTGCCCTCCTCAAGTTCGGTTCGGGGCCCTCTCCTCTGCCCCCAAACCCTCTGTGTGGACACAGGCTTGTTGAGGGCAGGGACTTGTCTTGGTTTTAATCTTAGATCCCAAGTGCCTACCCTTCATGGGCAGTTCATGGGCGGTGCAGCAATTCTTCAAACTCACTACCAGCTCATTCTACTTTCTCCAGGTCAGCTGGGCTCCCCAGGAAATCAGACCATGAGGGACACAGGCCAGGTTGAGCACCTACTGTGCTCTAGCCCTGAGCTAGGCACTGTGGGGGGGACGCAAGAACAATAACAAGGTCCCCTCCCCCAGGAACAATGGCTCCATGGACGAAACTAAACCCCACCCAGAAAAAAATCAGGAGACTTTTGGAGCCCAGGCTCCGAGCTCTTTTCCAAACAGGGAAGGAGTCAGAAGGCAGGAGAGCAAACAACACCCCCTTCCCCCAAGGGAGGAAAGAAGGAACCAGGCCAAGTCCTGTGGAGGCAGGGAGGGAGTGTCGTGGAGCAACTTTCCCCACACTCAAAGCATGATTGTTATGGTGGAGAAAACACATGCTTCCCAAGAAAACATTTGTCACTGAGACGTTGCCCTTACAGTCGTAGCCAGGAAGGACCTACCCAAACCGGCCCCAGAGAGGGGTGCGATGACTGCTGAGTCCTGGGGTCTCTGGCCTCCCACAGAGGCCCCCCGGCACCCCTCACTAGTGAGACCCAGCATCGGTGCTGAGGAGAGCAAGGACAGAGGCCACCTAAGGGGGGTCAACGACAGTCCTCCCAACAGAGGGCACAGGGGGAGGTCTTTAAAGCACGTTCTGGGAGGACTAGCCAGGGGACTTTGCAGCCAGTGCATCACTTCTTGAAGGGGCGCTTTGAGGTGCTGGGAAATCTGTCTCCTCCCGTGTCCACTGAGTGCCCAGACTGGCCTCTTGGTCCCTGGGTCCCAATGCCACGTTCTGAGCCACAGCAACTCCCCGACCCCCACACAGCTTTCAGATGGACGGGCACAGGCCATAACCAGATGTCCAAGTTAGCCCTGCCACCGCCACCACCACGCTCCTCTGGCTGAGCCCTTCCAGGCTGGCTGTAGGGAGCTCACCAGTGTTTGATCCTCGGGTCCCAGGAGCTCAGAGCACAAGCTGGTCGGGCTGGGGCTACGCTCCCCCTCCCTAATCCCTGTCCCATCACTCCAGAGGGCAGGGAGAAGGTGGAGGCCTCACTTTACAACCAGAAACAGAATGAAATCTATTTGGGGGGTCAAAGGAGCGCCCCCCCACCCCCAAAGCCTGAAAGTTGGGATGGAGTGGCCACGCCACCAAGAAGCCCACACGGCCGGCTCCCACCTCCCTCCCCCAGCCTCCTTTCACAGAAGCTGCTCCCTACCTCTCAAAGAGGGCCAGCCCTCCTCTAGGAAATGCAGATTTCCCAGCCCAAAGCAAACATGTATGTTGCGGGGAGGGGGCTTCCAGATCCCGGGTCCTCCCCATTCCCAGCCACGCTGAGTCAGTCAATAAGCTTCAGAAGTCTTTGCTGGGCACCTACCTGAGTCCTGACCCCAATGAACTGGTATTGTTCAGTTGTGTCTGATTTTCCATGCCCCCATTTGGGGTTTTCTTGGCAGAGATACTGCAGTGGTTTGCCATTTCCTACTCCAGCTCATTTTACAGATGAGGAAATTGAGGCAAACAGGGTGAAGTGACTTGCCCAGAGTCACACAGCTAGTTAGCATCCAAGGCCGCACTTGAACTCAGGTCCTCCTGACCCCAGGGCCGGCGCTCTATCCCCTGCGCCATCAGCTACCCGCCAATGGCCTAGACGCACCCCTTGCGGACACAGCCTGACTCACACGCAAGGCTAAAGGGTTCTACACAGAGACAGACAAGGAAGGAGGAGGCCGAGGCGCTCTGGCCACTCACCCGGCAGACAGACATCTGGTTAGTGGTCAAGGTTCCAGTCTTATCGGAGCAGATGACGGAGGTACAGCCCAGGGTCTCCACGGAGGGCAAGCTGCGCACAACGGCATTTTTCTTGGCCATGCGCCGGGTGCCCAGCGCCAGGCAGGTGGTGATGACGGCGGGGAGCCCTTCCGGGATGGCTGCCACCGCCAAGGCCACGGCGATTTTGAAGTAGTAGATGGCGCCGCGGAGCCAGGAACCACCGTGGACGGGGTCACTGAAGTGGCCGATGTTGATGGCCCAGACTGCCACGCAAATCATGGAGATGACCTTGGACAGCTGCTGGCTGAACTCGTCCAGCTTCTGCTGCAGCGGCGTCTTCTCCGGCTCCGTGGCCACCATCTGGTTGCGGATCTTACCTATCTCCGTGTAGACCCCGGTGGCCACCACCACGCCCACGGCCTTGCCTGAAGCGACGTTGGTGCCCTGGAAGCCAGCAGAGCTCGGTGACTGCAGGGAGAGGCCCCAGCCTGCCCTGAGAAGAGCCTGCTCCTTGGGAGACAGCGGACAGCACCATTCCCTTCTGGCCTCACTGCCTCTAGGTCAGAGGGAGCTCCCCAGCATCGAGTGTGGACACAACCACCAGGCTGTGAGACCCCCTGCCCAGGACTGGAATGACAGTACAGACCCCGCGGGGAGGACCCCGGACATCCGCAGGCAGCAGACACCGAGATGAGCACCAGAGCCCTCGATTTGGAATGGGGGCCAGGCTCACACTCAGCTCTGTCCTAAAGTCACTCGGAGTGCTTCTGCCTCCTCATCTGTCTAATGGGGGGCTGAATTGGGCCTCTGGTCATCTCCTGGCCCCCTGCACTAGCCGGCTCATGAGGGACTGAAGGGCCCCAGGAAGACAAGAGCTGGCTTTTCTCCTGCATGGTGTGGCCACACAAGGCACTCCCAGCCTGAGCAGACATAGGTCCACAGCCCCTGCTCAAGGCTGGGCTCTGGCAGGCCACACAAAAGGGTCGGAAGGGCCAAGACATCAACGCCAGCCTCATCACTTTACAGGGAAGGAAACTGAAGCCCAGACGAAGGCAGACCCTTGGCCAAGACCCCGAAGGGAGTGGTGGCCGAGACCTGGGGCTCCCCATCTTCTAGCCTGGTGGTCTTCCACCATGCCTAGGCTGGGCCTCTCCCCCCTAGCACAGATTAAGCAGCGGTCAGAGGCAGGAGGGGGTAGCAATAGGCCCCCAGCTCTGCCTTTCCCAAGCCAAATGGCCTTGGTGACAACTAAGAGCTGAGCCCCACACAGGCTCCAGGCCAGCGCACATGAAGGGGCTCCCCAGCAGCTTTCATCGCCCCAGGGCATTGGCCCCACCCTTTCAGAGTCTAGGTTCCTTTATGTGTATAGTAAGGACCCTCCCACTCGCTCTGGCTGTCTCTTGGGAAGGGAGTGCTTAGCACTGAAGGCCCAGGGGCTAACCTTGAGCCTCACTTAGTGTGAGTGGTGGGCCAGGCCTCCTGGCCCAGACTGGGTGGAGAAGCTGGCTGGACAGCGAATATCCCAGCCCTGGCCCTCTCTTCCTCAATGGGGCAGGGCCTTGGGCAAGGCCCAGGTGCTGTCTTCTAGAAGCTACCTCCAGCCCTCCTGCCCCGCCCCAAGCCCCAAGCAGGACCATGGACGCAGACTCACTGAGAACAGCATGTTCTTCTTGTCCTGGTTCACGGCCCGGGGGTCAGGGATGGGGTCGGTGTGCTTGAGCACAGACATGGATTCACCTGCGTACACACACACACACACGCCCTAAACTTCCGAAGCCTGCAAGGAAAGCTCTGCACTGCCCACTTCCCAAACCACCACCATGGATTCGGACACAGAGGGGATGCTGGCAGGAAGCGGGCAGAGCCCGGAGGTAACTCCTGCGGGCCTCAGTTTCCCCATTTGTCCATTGAGGGAGCTCTGCGTCTGATCTCTCTTCTGCTGTCTACCTTGTGTCCCTTCCTTGCCCCCTCCCTGCCCAGTGGAATGCCAGGCAGGAGCTCCTCTCAAGCCTCTTTTTTGAAGAGAAGGCTCATGGGCACTTTGAGCCATGTGCAAGTCTCTGAGAGGCTGCCACACAGAGAAGGAATTAGCCTCATTGACTTGGTCCTGGAGGGGAAAACGAGGGGTGAACTACAGGGCCAGACTTGGGCCCCAAAGCAGCCTGGCCAGCTGGGGAAGGGGTGAGCTCCCTGTTCCTGAAAGGCTCCAAGCAGAGGCTGAATGGCCTCATGAGAGGAGCCCTGGTTGGGTGCGGCTCAGATTTGAGTCCCTGAGGTCCAGCAGCTCTGTCCCGACCTCCTCCTCCTGGCTGTGACCACCCCATGCGCCCAGGCCTCCCCCAGCCCACCAGCAGAGGCCAGCAGCCTCCAGCCTTGGATCAGGAGTCACTGGGGCCACTTTGGGGAGCCTTCCTGGCCCTGGGCCTGGCCCAGGCCTCCTGCCTGGACTTGCCCTAGGTAAGAGGGGCTAAATCTGAGCTGGAGAACTCAGAAGGATGTCACTGCAAACATCCCAGACGTCACCTGGTCCAGCCCCGAAGCCCAGACGAGCTTACGGCTGGACTCACACCCAGTCTTGTTTGAGCTGAGTCCCAGGCCAGTCTACGGAATCGTGCCTGACCCCTCTTCCTGGCTCGAGCTGCTCCTCTCATCATGCCCCATGAGGCCCTGCTTCAGAGGGGGCTCCTGCCGTCCTGATGGGGTCCAAACAGGCTGTCCCCACACGACCCTCCTCAGAATCAGCGACCGAGCGGTCCTGGGCCTGGGAGGCCAGAGGCGGACATCTCAGGCCCACCACGGAGGCTACTGGGGACCTCCCTGTCCCTGCCCTGCTCGCTCAGCCATCTGCAAGGGAGCAGCCTGGTCTCCCAACAGACAGGGGAGGGTGCTCCAGGAAGGCTCCTTCCTTGGGAGAGGACACAGTCCCACCTCTCTGATCTCTCACTCCCTGGGCTGCCACCCAGAATCAGTCCCCAGTGACCCTAGCTCAGCCCCAGGCCTGCCCTCCACCCCACAACAGGAGCAGGTAACTGGAGATAGACCCAGCTGGAAACCCAGCACTGAGCCAGATCCCATGTGGACCATGACCGACGGAAAAGGGCATCTGAGCTGCCCCTTGGCGTTCACCCAGGCAGCATTTACCACCACACCGCCTGCGCCGCCCCAGGCCACACCCTCACCTGTCAGGATGGACTGGTCAACTCTCAGCGTGGTAGACTTGATTTCGATGAGGCGGATGTCAGCTGGCACCTTGTCACCAACTTCAGGGAGGGGAGAGAGTGAGAGAAGAGGCTTGGTCTGGGAGGGATGCTCCCACTGCCCCGCAGGCCTGCTCAGGCCCGCCCTCCCTCTGGCGCAGCAGGAGCCCTGGCCCCCCCCCCCCACCCATAACTCTGCTGCCAACTCTGAATGTCCTTGGGTGGCTCTCTTCCTCCACCTCTGGGCCCCTCTCTCCTCTTCTGTAAAACTGCAGGGGGTAGGCTGGAGACCATGCAGCCTTGTGGCACGGGCTCTGGCAGCCGGAGTGCCTTGGGGCAAGGCCATACTTCTAGAGGAAGTATCTGGGCTGCTAGATTCACTCCCCGGGCCTCAGGGTCGGCCTAGAGGGCCTCAAAGCTCCATCCTGGCTCTAGATGGGCATCCTGTGAATAGCTAGAAAGAGAACTGAGGGGTCAGAGCCTTGCCGCTTACTGTGCGTCCTGCCAGGTCCCCTCCTCCCTCTGGGCCTTGGCTGCCGGCACTTAAAAAGAGAGGCGGGCTTGGGGCTCCCCAAAGCCCCTTCCAGGCCAGACAGGCTGCTGTCCCCGCACGGAACTGAGGACAAGCAGGGGTGCCATGAGGAAAGCTGGTCTGCCAGCCTTTGGTTCATATGAACGGTGCAGGAGGCCACTCCTGGCGCCCAGGTCCCCCAACATCACAGGGCTATGAGGCTAGATTCTGGGGTCTACAACCAACATTGAGAGGCACCCACTGTGCACCAGGCCCTGTGCTCATTCCTGAGGGCACCAGAATATTCTGATGCACTGGGATCTCTTCAATGTAGACACTCCCCCAACAATGCTGATTGCAGCTGATTCTGGGCCATTCATCAGCTCTCCATGTAAGCCCTCAGGGGAAGATATGAGATCCACAGGAAAGGGTGACACAGGGTGGAGCCTGTGTAATGGAGGCATGGGAGCAGGAACTGAGGCCTCCAGAAAAACCCCAGACCAAGAAATCCCATTTACCATAGCCCTGACAAAGAGGCCAGCCAGCTTCTGCTTGGACACTCCCAGGGACAGGGCGCTCACTCCCTTGCAAACATTCCACTTCCCTTGGGAAGGCAGTTCTCTGCTCAGCAGCAGCTCCTCCCCCAGGCTCCTGGTCCTGACCCCTGACCCTCAGCCCTGGAATTCTGCCCTCCCCTACTGTGCCTCAGGGCAGAGATGCTCTGGGTAGCTGTGGCCTCGCTGGCCTCGGGGCCCATCTTCCCCTGCTGAGCTACTGGGGGACCCCAGTGCTGTGATGATGATCATGTCCTGGTTGCCTGCCAGCCCTGACTCCCCAGAAGTTGCCCTGAGGATCACAGGCTGGGCACCAGCCGCAGCTCTCAGGAAGAAGTAACATGCCTAGAATCCAGGGCTTTCCTTCCCTTAGTGCCCCCACAGGCAGAGGGCGGGCTGCAATGGGGAAGGGACTCTGGTCCCCTGGACAAGCCTTTGGACTTCCCGTGGCAGGGGGAGGAGAGAGGAAAGGGAAGGTGGGCCTTCCAAGAAGGGCAGCCACCGGCGCTGCCTACAGGGAGCTGACAGTCTACAGGAGAGGCTGCCCTGCAGAGGCAGGCAGGGCAGAGCCAGGGAGGTGCCAGGAGGCAGGAGGAGGGGCCCCGAGCCAGCGTTCAACAGATCTTCTGTTCATTTGCTCCGTTTTCGCTTTGCCTGACCGGGTCTTGCTGTCGTGTGGGGTCATTCGTCTGGTCCAGCCTAGTTTTCCAGGGCTCTGCAGTTTGGGCAGGTTTTGTGCTTTTCTTGTCAGGATATTAATTCTCCCTCCAAATCTTTCCTCTAAAGTTCTCGTTTCTTTTCCATCCTTTCCTCTAGCAATCTCATTGCTTGATTGATGAAATCATTTTTAAATCTTTTTGTACACTCTTGCTTCATCTGGTCCAGTTCTGGTCAAACTTGTGCCCAACCATAAATGGCTCAGCATGCAGAGGTTTTAGAATCTACTCTCCTTCTGGGTGTCTGTCTTCTGTGTCCCTGTCACCACAATAGCTCTTTTATACAGGGATTCTTTTTTTTTCTTTACTTATTCTTTCAGTCTTTCTTCCTGAATTGGGATTTTGTGTTAGGGCCAGACTCCGCATACTTCTAGAGGGAATATCTGAGCCTCTGGGGGTCCTGCTTTGTATTCCTCAGATTCTGTTGCTGAATTCTGTTGAGTGCTGTGCTTTTTGAGGGTCTTAGAGGTAGGTCAGTTTAGGGACTAGAGAGCTTTCAGTGTGCCCAAAGCAGCATGGTATAAAGTCTGAGGTTTGCAAGCACCTGACCTGGGATTTGGGTGAGGACAACACAGCTGTGGGTTTGCCCCTAGTTGGAGTACCAGTAGACTGCTGCTGGCCTCAGAGCCCCTGTTAACTGGCTGGAAGCCTCTGCAGGTTGACATAAGGAAAGGCTCCCCCTTGGTCTGAACTCTCTGGCTGCAGGCTTCAGACTAGCAGGGACTGAACCACAGTCTCTGCTCCAGAACACTGGAACCGCTGCCCAGGACATGACCTCCCAGCCTCAACTGCTCCCTGGCACTCCAACCCTAAGCACAAAATCTACAGCCCAGCTCTGGAATGTCTTGGACAGGTCTTAAGGTGAAGGTGGCCGGGAGCTGGAGTCTATAAGACAGAGATGGGGGCGGGGAGGGAAAGGGGAAGCCTGTACAAAGGAATGAAGGTGGGGGTGGAATATTGTGTGTGCAGAACGGGCCAAAGGCTACACTGGCCAGACCAAGAGCCCACGAAGGAGATCCCGGGAGGACCGTGGAGTCCACGAAGGAAAAACCATGGAAAGGGTCGTGGTGGGGGTGGGGGTGCTAGTTGTTCAGTCATTTCAGTCGTTTCCCACTCTCCAAGACCCCATTTTGGGGTTTTCTTAGCAAAGACACGGGACCGGCTTGCCATTTCCTTCTCCAGCTTATTTTATAGATGAGCAAACTGGGGCAAACAGGGTGAAGCGACTAGCCAAGGGTCACACAACTAGGAAGTGTCGGAGGCCAAACTTGAACTCAGAAAGATGTCTTCCTGGTTCCAAGCCCAGTGCTCCATCCACCGCAGCCAAAAAGGAACAGGTTTTTAAGGCCAAACAGACGCGCCTGTGTCTTACCCTAGGTACACCAGGGAATGACACGGTCAGAACCGTGCTTCAGGGATCTGGCAGCCACATGGGGGATGGATTGGAGAGCCGAGGGCCAGAGGGGACATTGAGGGGCCCGTAGGAATGGTCCGAGTGAGAGGGGATGAGGGCCCGAAGGAGGCTGAGCCAGGAAAGAGGGGTGTCCTCAAGAGAGCTCGGGAGGGTGGGAAGGCCAAGAGCGAGCACGGCAGGGGAGAGGGCGGGGGAAGGAAGGGGGAGTCTGAGAGAAGGGCAGGCTCTCAGCAGGAATCAGGGACATTGGGAAGGGGGAGGATTTAAAGACAAAGGATTTAAAGCCTTGGATGTGGCGAGTCTGAGACAGATCAGAGAGAGCGGGTTTGGCCCTCTGAGCAGTGAATCTGGAGCTAAGGAGAAGGCCAAGGGTAGAGAAGATCAGTCTGGGGCTCCCTCTTGTAGAGATGGTCACGGAACCCAGGGGAGCTGATGAGGAGAGATGGCACAGAGGGAAGAGGAGAAGGTTCAAGACGGGGCCCGAGGGATAACCAGCGCTAAGGCCGGCCCAGGAGCCCCTGCTTCCCCGCCCTGCCTCCATCCCAAGCATGCGGATTCTGGCCCCAGGCTCTACATGAGAAAGGCATGCCCAGCTTGGAGCAAGAATCCTGCCTGTCTTCCCCTGGACCCACTGCCTCTGGGAAAAGCAGGAGGAGGACAGAGGGCGGTGCTGCCAGGCCTTCAGCAGGGACGGCAGGTTGGCTCAGGACTCACTGGCCCCAGAAGGCCACAGGTGCCGAAAAGAAAGGGATGGAGATCAGAGATTAGGGGAGAGAGAGACTTAAAACTGGGAAGCAGCTGAGCAATCGCAATGGAGGAGGAAACTGAGGCAGTCCAGATGGGGGAAGGCACTGGCCTCAGAGATGGGCCAACTAAGGGCAGGGGAGGGGGCCCTGGGCTGCAGCCTCAGCCCTTGCTCCCTGGCACCCTTGGCCATGAATAGAAATCAGAAATGAAGGGGAGCTGGGGGAGGGGCAGTGTTTTCCTCTTTTCAGACATGAACAGCTTGGTTCAGGTCACGACTTGGGGCCTCAGCTATGTCAAGTGAGTGGAAAGTGTGAGGCAGGCCCTGCAGATCCGGGAAGGAGAAGCAGCCAGAGGAAACCTTTCCCTGAGGCTCATTGTCAGGGAGCTAACAACCCTCCCGAGGCTGGCTGTCGCCATAGCAAACAGCCGGCCCCTCTCCCTCACATTGCCATAAATCACTCCGTGGGTTTTGGGCAGCTTCTCTTGGGAGAGGCGTCAGACCTGGGCTGGGGGATGGCCGGGGGAGGGGAAGCAGGAAGCAGCACCAGGGAGAGGCTTCTGGCACCCACCCCAGCCCAGGGCACCTCTGCCCACTGCCCCGGGGCAGCTTCTCTGGGCGAAGACGTCAGGGAGGGGCTCGGGAAGCAGTACCCCCTCCCTCAGCCCAGGCCCCTCTACCCCCTGCTGACCGTGACAGCCCTCTGTTTCCTGCCCCTGGGTGAGGCCAGACACTGTACAGCATTGACAGGGGGGCTCCGGACTGCAGGCACTCCCCAGAGAGGGCCAAGCTCAGGCAGGGCTCGGGAGGACCCAAAATGGCCTCAGGTCCAAAGCCAGCATTACTAGCCTCGGCTGGGCCAAGATTCCTGTCCTACATCAGTCTCATCCAGGACAGACCCAAAGGTCAGGAGTCCACCCTTAGCCAGGACAAACACCAGGCACATCAGCCCTTCCAGGTCTATCCAGGGTCCTGCTCTTCCCGCCAGGTTGAGAACTCTGCACCAGTCCCAGAATCTGAGACTTCCCAGTGGGCCCAACGTGGCCCTGGGGCCGTGTAAGCCACCTGCTGGACCATTCAAGAAGGGACCAGTTACCTGTCCATGGGGCTATGTAGGCACTCCTCTGAACCAGTGAGGAAGGGACCGGTTACCTGGCCACGGGGCTGTGTAGGCACCCCTCTGAACTGATGGGGAAGGGACCGGTTAACTGGCCATGGGGCTGTGTAGGCACCCCTCTGAACCGATGGGGAAGGGACCGGTTAACTGGCCATGGGGCTGTGTAGGCACTCCTCTGAACCGGTGAGGAAGGGACCGGTTACCTGGCCATGGGGCTGTGTAGGCACCCCTCTGAACCGATGGGGAAGGGACTGGTTACCTGGCCATGGGGCTCTGCAGGCACCCAGGAAGGGGTTTCCCAGACCCAGACAAGGAGGGTCATCTACCATCCCAATCAGAGGAAGGCCAAGAGGCTCATGAGCCACCTCAGGGTGACTGAGTTCCTCCCCTGCCCCCACTTGACGTTTCAAGGCCAGAAAAATGGTCTCTGCCTCCCCTGTCCTCTGTGAAGGGCAGCAAGGACATTTCTCGGAGGCCTGGGGATGACTTCCTCGACTGCTGGCCTTGAAATAATCATGAACAATGCAGGTGCCCCGACAGCTCCAGGTTCCAGCCGGGGACCCCCAGGCTCTCTGTGTCCGCCCCTCCCACCTGCCTCTCCCCATGACTTCCTCCTTTGGACTCCGGGCTCCAGGGCCTCCCTCCCCGGGCTCCTGCAGCTTCACCAGCGGGCCCTGGGAGGGAATCTGCCCTCTTGCTGCCCAGGGATCTCACAGCTGCACCTGAGGTTCTGGGAAGATGAGGGGCAGCTCCCCCCACCCCAGAGCATCCTGGCAGGTCAGTCAGAGCCTCTGGCTGGGCCACGGGGCTCTCGACCCAGGGTCCAGGACTGAGAACTAGTGTATCTTCATGGAGGAGAAGAGACGCGTCCCATGGGCCGCACTGAGGGCCGACATCAGGATGTGCTTTCTCAGAAGGAAAGTCTGCAGGGATTTCCCTGGTCCATCCAATAGTTCTGAGCTCCTCAGTGGAACAAAGAGCAGCCAGAGTGGGGTGTGACACCCCCTGGGAGGCCCCTGCTCAGCCAGCCCCCTGCCACCTGCTGTCTCTTGGAAGGTTGGGCTGGGGCGAGGATGCTAGGGCCAGGAGTGCTGGGGCCCAGGGCTCAGCAGGGCCCCGAGGGTCAGCCCCAGAGAGGATGGGCCTAGAACCTATAAGCCTCACTTACTGAGAGGTGCCACAGAACCAGCCCTCCTTCAGGCCCTGTCCTCTCCGTAAACGCACACCCTGACAAGTGCGCAGCTGCCCTGTGCCTGCAGGGGCCAGAGCTCAGGGCCCCTGCTCTACTCCAAGCCTGCAGGGACGCCCCCACATGCATGTCCGTGTGCATGTGTACCCATATACACGCACTCACACACACACACACGCACGCACGCACGCCTAGCCCTTGACCCCTACCTGCCACTTCTACGATGTCTCCAGGGACAATATCGCGAGCCCGTATCCTCTGCACGCCCTTGCGGTCCATGCGGATCACCTTCCCCATCTCAGGCTCATATTCCTTCAGAGCCTCGATAGCACTTTCTGCGTTCCTCTCCTGCCAGAACAGGCAGATCCTGGTCAGGACCCTAGTGGGGGTGGGGGGATGGGAGAGGGGGTCAGCCCCTCCAAGCAGGGGCTCAGAATGGGGGTGGGGCACACTGGTTGCTCCAATTTCAGCTGAGAACAGCACCGGGGTCAAGGAGGGAAGTGACGTCCCAGGACAAAGCCACCAACATCCCTGTATCCTCTGGTCCCTCAAGGGACATCAGCATGGCTGGGTTTAGATGATTTGAGGAGCCCTGGAGGCCAACGAGACTGAGCAGGGAGGAAGGGAGGGCTCCTGGACCAGCAGACCTTCCTCATCACCGGGGGCCACCCTGGAACCCCCAGGCTACCTGCCCGGGAGGCTGATCCCATCCACTGGTCAGCCTTGGGGGGACCTCAGCACAGGCTGGCACCAGACAGTGGCATGGATCGGCCAGGGTCCTACGGGGGCAGACAGAGGACTCCTCCTTTCCAGCCCCCACTGAGCCCTGTTTGCCCAGCCTGCTACCAGCCTTGAGGGCAAACCTCAGGGGGCCACTGCCCACCCTACTCTGCCACCCGTGCCCCTTACCCACCTGCCACACCCCCACAACAGCATTGGCGATGAGAATAAGAATGATCACCATTGGCTCAACAAAGGCTGTCACGGTCTCCTCACCCTCCTCAAACCAGGCCAGGATCTGCAGAGACAGAAGCAGGTACACACACATGCGTGAACACACATGAGCCCACAGGTGAGCAGGAGACAGTGGAGGCCATCAGTGGCCCCCAGAACAAAGCCAGAACCTGCCTGGGCAAAAAGGTTCCAGCCCAGGCAGGGCCCAACCCTAAATCCCAGGTGGCTAAGAATGGCCCCACGGCCTTTTGGCTGTGCCTCTTCTGCTGACCTGCTGGGCAGCCCTGGTCATAGGCCTTCCTTCTCTCGGCCTCAGCTTCTAAGGCCTCTGAGGTCCGTCAGGGAGCAGGAGCTCCCCCCACTCCCACACTGGATGCTTCCTAGCTGGCATCCCTGGGCACTTTGTCTATCACCATTTCATTTCCTCAGTTTCCTTATCTGTCAAATGGTCATGATAAAGCTTTGCACTAGCCTGACAGTGCTGTCATGGAATCCTCTGAGCTTGACCTTGATGTGAACCATCCCCTGGTATCAGTCCCCCCAGCCCTCACTCTCAGGGTCCCACACAACCTTAGCCTGGACACCTAGGAGAGACTTGGCAGAGCCAGAAGGCTGGCAGCCCCTGGGGGCCAGGGATAAGGACCCAAAGACTGTCCAGCAAGGGGGGTGGGGGGAAGGCTCCCAAGGACAGAGGAGGTTCAATACGGCCAGAGTAGAGCTCCAGCAGCTGCTAAGCCAGGTTCCCGACAGCCCCCAGCCAGTGACTGAGGGCACACTTGACATATACAAGAACAGAGTAGCAGAGAGATCAGGAGATCAATGGACAGCAAACGAGCCACGGGAGCCCAGAACCCAGCACAGGAGGGGCTTGAAGCAGCCAAAGAGGGCTTCATGGAGGAAGCTGGGCTCTAAGGACTAAGATTAGAGAGGTGGAGGCCCCAGGGAGAACCTTCCACAAACTCCAAGAATGCCAGGGCTGGGAGGGATCTCTGAGGTCAAAGTCCATCCCTATCATTGAAGGGCTGGGCTGGGGAGAGAGGGACAGGGAGGGAGGAGGAACTAGAACTCAGAAAAATTCGATGAAAGCAAATTAGAGTCAGGGTGGGGGTCAAACCCAAAGGCCCTGACTCCACTACCCCCGTCACCATCTAAAGGTTGACCAGACTCAGGGACATCACAGGCCTTGGCTGGATGCAAACAGATGACTGTGGAGTTAGGGAAAGGGACAGGAAGAGAGCTCCCCAGGCCAGATGGCCAGGCAGCTGGGTGTGGCCACCAGATGGGGAGGGCATGCCATGAATCCCTTTGTTTGCCCTTGGTGCCTTGCAAGGACAATACTGCAGGTGTGTGTGGGGTGGGGTATGCCAGTCCTGGCTGGTCCATTTTCAATATATGTCCCAGAAAGCCACAGGGGTAAACACACAGACCATGGGGCTGGGGAGCCTCAAAGGTCAGCCAGTCCCATCCCCTGATTTAACAGATGAGGGAACTGAAGTTCAGAGAAGAGAATAACTTGTCCAAAGTCACACAGGATTAAGTGACAGCCTGGATTCAAACTCAGGTCCCATGACTCTAAGTTTAACCACATCTTTATTCACACAGACACAGACACAGATATGGACACAAACATGAACACAGACACAGACACAGATGTGGACACAGACAGACATCAGTCAATCAATAAACATTTATTAATGAGCTACTATGTGCCAGGTGCTGTATTATGTGTTGGGGATACAAAAGGTTCTTGCCCTCAAGGAGTTTGTAGTCTAATTGGGGGGAGAATATGTAAACAAATAAATACAAAGCAAGCTATATATTACAAGATAAATGGGAAATAACAGAGGGAAGGTACTGGCATCAAGAGGGGTTGAGACATGGATATGGACTCAGACACGGATGTAGATACAGACAGACAGAGACACAAACAAAAATACAGGCACAGACAGACACAGAAACAAACAAAAATACAGGCACAGACAGACACAGATATAGACACAGACTGATACAGACAGATACACAGTCATTGACAAAGACAGGAGCAGACACAGATTCAGACACAGACACTGACACAAACTGACACAGAAGCAGATACAGACAGATACAAACATAGATATAGACACAGACACTGACATAGACACAGATACCAATGTAGATATTGACAAAGACTGGCAGAGACACAGACATTGACACAGACAGACACAGACATAGATACCAACACAGACATTGACAAAAACAGGTACAGACATAGGTTTAGACACAGACATTGACACAGACAGACACAGAAGCAGATACAGACAGATACGAACACATACAGACACAGACATTGACACAGATACAGATACAAACAAATAGATGTATAGATAGACACAAGCACAGGTACTCACAGGCAGACAGACATCAACATAGACACAGACAGGCACATTCACATGGACACAGCACCAGGACAAAAGCAATGAGCATCCCTGACTCTCAAGAGCTCTCCCACTTTGGGCATTATCCCTGAGGGGGACACAGAAGCAGGGCTCTTCTCAGGCTCTCTGCCTGCCATCCTGGAGCTGTCCAGTCTGTTTTCTCCTCTGCACCAGTATATCAAGCTCTGTCTTTACCATGATGCCTAACTCTGTGTTGGGCCCAGTGGGGGAAGCCACAGTCCCTGCTTCAAGGAGGTCACAGTCTAGTTGGAGAGGCAAGAGATAGACACTAAATAATAAAAAACTGGCTATGGGCCTATTCTAAATTATGTTCACATGGTATTTCACAGAACCCTAATCCTAGGTTAAAGCTGAAAGGGACCCTAGAGGCCCCAGGTCCAAACCCCTCAGTTTTCAGATGAAGAAAATGAGGCTTCCAAAGAGGTTCAGTGCCTAGCCTGAGGTCATACAGATAATAAATGGCAGAGCCAGGATTTGAACCCAGTTCTTTGGACCCCTAACCCAGTGCTCTTTCCACTGGACCATGAAGGAGTTCATAAAATGGGGAGAGTTCCATGGAGAAGGCATTGGGGCTAAAGAAGACCAATCAAGGGTCATGTCAGTGAAAACAGAGCCAGAAACTCAGGCTCAGGTCCAGTCTATCACTGCCCCTGCCTCCCCACCACAGCAGTGACTGATTCCTGACACCATTGGGGGCAAAGCCGTTTCTGAGTTGCAAAAAGGCCTGCTTCCCTCCCTGGCAGGGCTGCCACAGACCGGCAAAGCTCTCCTGGTGGAGTGTGAGAGGGTCAAGGAGGAGGAGCAGAGCCCAGAGCCCAATAGGGCTCTCCCTGACAGGACCCCCAGCCCAGCTACTTACTGTCCACATGACCTTAGACAAGTCATACACACACACACACACACACACACACACACACACACACACACACACCCATCCCTGGGTACCAATTCCCTCCTCCCTAAAATGAGGAGCTAGACTTGGGGAGCTCTGTGGTCCTGTCCATGCAGTCTTAGATTCCATGCCAGGCCTTCCTCGCATTCAAAGATGGAGGTTCTGCCCCTGCCACACACACACCCTGGGCCTGGTTTCTGTGGGGGAGGGACTTAGACAGCCCCAGAGTTCGACCTAAGCATAGTCTCTGTCTCTGGAGGAGGTCACTTTCAGCTACTCTTCTGCTCAAAAGCCTCTTACCCGACATGGTTAAACAGCCAGATCATATGGACTCGCTGTCCCCCCTCTCCGAGTTCTGGCCAGGGAACAGAGCTTAACCCAGGAAAAGAGGGGAACCTCTGTTGTAGGGTGAGTGAGATCAGTCAGTCAGCAAGCTGTCCTGTGCTAGGTGCTGAGACTGTAAAAACAGAAGGGAGGTAATCTCTGCCTGCAAGGAGTCTGCAGTCCGTCAATAAACATTTATTAAGTCACTACCACGTGCCCTCCACTGGGCCAAGCACAGGGATACAGAGAAAGGCAAAGGACAGTCCCTGCCCTCAGGAGCTCATAATCTAATTGGGCAAATAACTCCCACACAGAAAACCAAATACAAAGTAATTCCTCAGGGGAAGTAACCAGCATGGCAGAGGGGAGGAAGAAGGATCAGGAAGAGCTTCATGTAGAAGGTGCTGATGAGCTTTACAGGAAGACCAAGTTTCTAAGAGGCAGAGGAGTGGGGGGAGGGCATTCTGGGCATGAGGCACAGCCTGGGCAAAGGCACAGTAGATGTCCTAGAGGAGACTTTGTAAAGCACTTAACACAGTGCCTAGCACATAGTAGGCATTTAATAAACACTTATTTAGAAGAAGAAAGAAAAAGAAGCAGCAAGTTCAGTTAGATCACAGAGTGCAGGAAGGGGAGTGATATGTAACAAGAAGCTCTGCTGGAGCCACACTGTGAAGGAATTAATATCTGATCCTGCGGCAATAGGGAGCCAGGGAGCCTGTGGAGCTGGGGAGGACATCCCTGGGGTCGTAGCTGTGTGCACGGAGAGAAGGAAATGTGGGGGCAGGTGGACCAAGCTTAGTGACTGGTCAAGAGGCCGGGGCAAGGGAGAGAGATGGGAGGGAGAGTCGGAGCCAGCTGGAGGAGGACCAGAGCCAGGAGCCCCCAAGGCGCAGGCATTCTTTGGACTAGAGAGATGGGGGATGGATCAGCGCCGCAGGGATGTCCCGCATCTCCAAGGTTAAAGGCCCGCTGCTGGATCTGGGGCGTGACGCTGGAACGGGAGGCCAGACAGGAGGGGGAGGGGAGGGCCAACTGGGAGGGGAGGGAGGGGGAGGGGCAGGGCCAGTGGGGAGGGGAGGGGAGGGGAGGGAGGGAGGGGGAGAGGAAGGGCCAGTGTGGGGGAGGGGCATTTGCATCTCTTTGCCTGTTAACCGGCCTTGTTTGCCTGTGACCCGGGCTTTAGTAGGATCTGCTACCCAGAGATTTCTTATTCCTCCAAAATGTGACCTGCCCCACCCTCCGGGGAGCGTCTCATTTCCCAGGCAAATGGACTGTTCTGCCTGTCCCCAGAGCCTCCACCTGGCCCAGCACGACGGCAGGTGCCCATGCCAACAGCAGGTGGGGGGGAGTAGAGAGGTGGCTGCCAGCGCCTGGCATGTAAACGCTCCCGACTGACAGCTTGAAGTGGGGTGGGGGGACATCACCTGGGGGAGGGTCCGCCCAGGCCGGCCTGCAGACCTCCCTGACCTTCTGTGATTCACGAACAATCTCCTCAGGCTTGGGAACAGGCCCCAGGACCCAGTCTAGGGTGCCCTCTACAGAACTAGGGAAGGCAGCAGGGGCGAGGAGCAGGGCAGAGTTGAAAGGACAATGCCTTGGCTTGGCAGCTCACTTGCGACGTGCCCTGCCCCCCCACCCCCGCCCCACCCCGCCCCCCAGTCATCCCTCCCTGGACTCAGCCCCAGGGGCCATACTCACGAAAGACACGAAGGCTGCCAGCAGGAGGATGCGCACGAGGAGGTCATCAAATTGCTCCAACACCAGCTCCCACAGGGACTTCCCTGCAAAGCGAAGGGACCGTGTCCAGACGCCGCCTGGCCTGCCCCGCCCCCCGGGGTTCCCTGGGAGCAGGGAGAAGAGGCCTGCCTCAGTCCCACCCCCAGCCCCCAACAGACAGGGCCGTTTGACGTCTGTTTCTAAAGTGTTAGAGCCTTGGACCAGAGTCCGGAGGAACTGAGTTCCAATCCTGCCTCAGACGCTCACTAGCTGTGTGGCCCTGTCAGCTTGTCTCAGCCTCAGTTTGCTTCCTATAAAACGGGGCTAATAATAGCCCTACCTCCCAGGGCTGGTGTGAGGATCCTGTGAGGTCGTGAGTGTCAGTCTCGCTAAGGTGCTCCATACACAGCGGCAGGATCATTAAGATCAGATTACGATTGAAGGGTTATTGATGTCCTCGGTTCTGACATGTTCCCTCAGCCCTTCTCTAGGGAGACCCCAGTCTCTTCTCTAGGAAGAGGAGGGTCTCCGGGACCAGGACCAGCCAAAGCAATTCATCAGAAATTGACTGTAGGCCTCTGACTGAGGAGTGGAGGCCCAGGGCCTTTTTGCATCCCTGATCACAATGAGCCTTGCCACACCCAGGCCAGGCAGCAATCTGGAGAGGCTTGGATTGGTGAAAGACCTCTCCATGGCAAGCCAGCCAAACCCTCAGTGGGAGGGGGAGGATGAGTCACCAGGCCTCGGGCAGAGGGGGGAGGCCGGGAGGAATCCCCTGTCTGGCTCCCCAGGGCCTGCCCTTGGTCGTGCCCTCCCCACTCCCACCGGGGCAGCCATGGACCACCAAGTTCAGAGAGCAGTCATCTCTACTTACGCACCTTCCTCCGCTGGGAGCTCTGGGGGGTTTCAGCCACCGCAGGAAAGAAACCGGCAAAGAGAAAAGAGAATGTTACTGAGCAAAGCCCTGAGGGAGATGCAAAGCCAGCCCTGCCTTCTAGCAGCTTCTGATCTTGTGTCCCAATCACTATGACAAGCATGGGAGAAAGGGACCAGGGCTGCTAGGAGGTGCCACACTCACAGAGTAGGGAGCCCTGAGCTCAAATCCTGCCTCAGGTGTTTACAAGCTGTGGGACCATGGGCCAGTCACTTCACTTCTGTCTCAGCTTCCTTATCTGTAAAATGAAAGTCCTAATAGCACCTGCCTGGTAGGGTCATTGTGAGAATCAAATGAGGTTATACTTATAAAGTGCCTGGCATCTGGTAGGTGGTTAATTAACTTCTCCTTATGGAAGACAAAAAGTGAGGAACCGCCTTGGAGGGGCAGTCTTGGGAAGCTTCATGGAGGAAGCAGGCTTGGAGCAGCTCTGGGAAGGAGAAGCATCTCCTCTCAACAAGGGTCACAGACAGACTCAGATCCATCCATACTCCAGGATCCCCAGAGGCACAGAAAGGAGATTTACTAAAGGGTCCCTTGTGAGAACACTCCTGCTACGAAGGAGAATCATAATAATGTAGGTTCTTAAAATATTCATGCTCTCGGACTCTGGAAAATGAAAAGCTTTTCAAAGGCACTAAAGTGGGAGAAGAAAGCCTGAGTGGGGGCACCAGGCTCAGCATGCCACCAGCGTCCTCCAGGCCTCCCTGTGTTCCAAGGTCATTCGCCAACAACTCCATGGAAACAACTTGGCCAAGGAGTGTTTCCACCTGAATCCCATCGAACAAGATGAGGACAAGATGGCGGTGATAATAAAAAGCCTGGCTGCTCGCCCATGCTCTGGGCACTGTGGGCAGGGGCAAACAAAGGAAGGGAGTGCCCTATAGAGTCATGGAAGGGGCCCCGTGTCCCCTGAGACCATCACAATGCCCAGAAGACCTGGAAATAACCCTGAAACCAGCAAAGCAGCTTCTGGTCTTGCCAGTGCTTGGTCTGAGCCCCCAACAATAATGATGCACCTGCCCTTAGCTGTCAAAGAAACAGAGGGGCAACGCCAGGCTGGGGGCTGGCTGCCCCCGGGTCCCTCTCAATGACCAGCCTGATATGGAAGACCCCAGCAGGGGGGACACTTCTTCATGTTTGGGGGCCAATAGGCATCCATCCACCCAGAACAAATCAGAATACCAAGACAAGACTTCGCCCTTGTTGGAAATGGACGGAGGAGGTGAGTGCCTTCATCACAGAGCAGAGCTAACTACATCATTCCAGAATGAGAAACAGGCCGAGACAGCAGACCGATCTTTGTCAAGCACACTCTGGGCTCCAAGTTGCTTAGCAACGCTTGGCCAACCATTATTATTGGGTGACCCCAAAAAATTCCTTTATCTCTAAGCCTGGATCGAATGAAATAGGAGAAGGGGAAAAGATGGAAACCCCAAGGTTGCTGACAACCTTCTCCTGAAATGGGGCCTCGAACCAAATGGGGGACAAAAACCATGCTGTCTCAGAGCATCCTGCAGGAAGGAGATGCCAGGCCCACTCAGCCTGCGTTCCCCTCCCACAGCCCTTTGTGACTCAGACGGCAGACCTCCATGGGGCAAACCAGCAATACCCAAACAGCCATCATGACCAACAATCTTTCCCCACAGGAGTGGATGCAGCAGCTGATAGCACCTTAAGGACCTCATGGGAAAGGAGAAGCTAGCCATACTCCTAAGGACAGGATCTGCACCAAGATGGCAGAAGCAACTTGCAAATCTACTGAAGACCCAGGAAAAGGCCCTGTGAGATGATGCCAGTGTCCAGCTGGCTGTCCCATCAGAATCTGAACTCCATCCACTTTGTCTAATTCTAGGCAACCAAAGGGAGAGGTGGGGCCCCACAGCTGGAAAACAGAAAGGCTCAGAAAGTCTGGATTTCCTTAATCAGTAGTTGAAAGTAAAGGTCAATGTTAAGATGATACAAGGAGTCAAATAAACAGATCAATGAATCCGATCAGTTCTGGAGCCTTAGGGAGCAAAGGAACTGGAGACCAGAGGAAGAAGAAGGCGGATAAGGACAGCTGATGGAAAATAGAAAACAGCATTCTTTGAGAAGTTCAAGCCCTGCAGAGTCTTAAATCCATGATTGTCTCTTCTAAGAAATATGGCTTCTGAACAAAAGAGGGATCTGAATCAAAACCCCTCCTTTACCATTTGATGCATACCAATGGCTTCAGGCTATGTGCCTCTACTGAAAAAAATAAATTCAACATCTCATTATCTCAGGAAATCTAGATCCCAGGTTGGCATAACAACAACAGAGCCCCCACCGATTGAACCACTACTACCCAAGCAGCCCCTGTAAGGCAAGGGGCCCAGGGGCTGAATGGACCTGGGCAGACCAACCTGGGGGCCCAGGGCTGGGTTCTGCAGCACTCTAGCAGCCAGGCTATCAGACCTGACCCACTCTGAGGACGGAGGCTGCAGGGGCCTTGGAATTCCCATAAGGAAATGGTGACCCTCTCTTTGGCACCTTCTCTCTGCTCACACAACCCCCCAGGCCAGCCCAGGCCCTCATCTCCTCAATGACCTCCTGACTGGTCTCCCTGCCTCCCTGATGCAGCCTCCACTCAGATGCCAAAATGGGGGTCTGACTGCGCCACTCCCTGCAGCCGTGAACTCCAAGGGAGTCAAGAACAAAGCTTCTGCTGGCTTCGTAGGCGCTCCCGAGGTCGCCAAGCCCATCTCTCCAGCCCTATTTGTTACCCACTCCTCCCCTCTGTCATCTTTGATCCAGCCAAACTGGCCTTCTTCCTCCTTCACAATAGTTCATCTCCTGCCTTGGCACCTTTGCACAAGCTGTTCCTCATGCCTGCCTTCACCACCACCTCTGCTAATCCTTAGCTCCCTTCAGGGTCAGCTCCTTCCTGGCTTCCAGTTACCTCACATTTGCCCTGTGTATCTGTATTATTTCCATAAAGGCACGTAGGTGGAACAGTGCTAGAACACTAGCCTGGAGTCAGCTCAGCTGGACTCGAGTTCAAATTTGCACTGAGATACCAGCTGGGTGACCTTGGCCAAGTCACTTAATCACTGTCTGCCTCAGTTTCCTCAAATGTAAAATGGGGATAATAGCATCTACTTCAGAGAGTTATTGTGAGGGTCAAATAGGATAATAACTGTAAAGCACTAAGTACAGCGTCTGGCACCTAGCTGGTGCTTAATAAATGCTTATTACCACCCTCCCATCTGCACTGTTTTCTCCCATGGAATACAGGCTCCTTGAGGGCAGGGACTGTTTCTTTTCATCTTTTTCTCCTCAACACCTAGAATAAGACCAGCACACAGCAAGTGTTTAATAAATGCTGGTCGAATGAATGAATGCAGTAATGAAGAACAAGCAAGAATCAGAGCAGGAGGGGTCCTCTATGAGTGCCCTCCTCACCTCGGCATCTTCTGCATCGTCAGGAGGCCTGGAAAAGGAGGGGACCTCCCCACATTTGCCGAGATGCTCACGGGAAGGCAAGGGCACCTTTCCCGAAGCTGGACCACAGAGCCCCAGCAATGAGCCGGTCTGGATGCTAGCTCATTTTGGGGTTCTCCCCAGCCCCTCATGTCCATTTCTAACCCCCATTCAGTAACTCGGGGTAGTGCACATTTACTTAGCAGCGAGTGTGTCCAAGGCTCTGCCCGGCACCAGTCACAAGGACAGAAATGGAACAGCCCCTGTCTTCAGACTACTCACAGTCAAGGGAGGGAAGAAAACACAGACACAGAGTAGGTGAGTGCCAAGGGCTCCCTCCTCCTGGAACTGCTCAGGGGAGAGCTTGCCTAACAGGCAGCACCTGCGCTGGACCTTGGAATTCTAAAAGGCGCAGGTAAGGAGGGAGGCCATCTAGGCATAGGGACTGGCCAATGCAAAGGCGCCAAGGTGGGAGAGAGAATTCTGAGTTCAGGAGACAGAAAGCAGACCAAGTCGCCCAGCTTGTGGAATTTGTGGAAGGGGAGTGATGTGAATGCAGGGAGAGTAGGAGAGGGGAGGGGGTTCCAGCTGGGCAAATGTAGCTCAGAAGTCAGGGTCTTTGTTGTTGCAGATATATGTAACAAAGGCTAGAATGGGAGATGAGGGAGGGGTCAGTGGTTCCGATCACTTAACCCTCCCTTTTATTCTTGCTGCCCCCTACATTTGCATGCCACATGGGCAGGACCTTGGAATCAAAGGCAGCCTTGTTGCCCCAGCCCCCAAATAGCTAATGTGGTATTTGGGGGGCAGAGTCCCCAAAAGGGGTTCATAACTAGGAATTTAACAAGAATTAACAGGATTTTTCATGCCCTAAGCTGTCTGAGACCAAGGACCTCCAGCTGGTCTCAAGAGAAAGGTCCAAAAAGAAGCTTACTCTTCACCCAGGGCTGCCTGTGTGAAGACGGTGACTCAGAACCCTCAGCAGAGTGTAGCCTTTCAAGGAGAGGCTTTCTGGTCACTACACCCCAGAGAGCAGTATCAGAGAGTACCCAAAGAGGCTAACTAGCTGAGACCCCTCACACAACAGCAGAATGACCAAGAGCTCACACCTCCCAGAGAGTGGCCTTGCAGGGATGCCACCAGGAGCAGCATGTGGTGTCCACCAGCCACATGGGCCTCCAATGTGCCATGCTCTTAACGCATACGTCCTGGTGACCCAAGCACCAGTATCTGTGCCCTGGCGACACACTCCCTGTGCGTGAGCCCTCTGCACGTGTGGCCTTCTCTACCAGTCATGGAGTAGCCTGTGAGGGGAAAGAAACAAGCGTTCATTAAGCACCTCCTGTGGGCTTGGTCCAGTGTAAGTGCTTTACGGGTTTCATCTCATTTGACCCTGACAACAACCTTGACACATAGGGGCTATTATGATTCCCATTTTACAGTTGGGGAAACTGAGGCAGATAGAGGTTAAAATGACTGTGCCCAGGATCACATAGCTAGTAAGTATCTGAGGCTGGA